AACAAAACCAGCTGCTGCCAACCTCTTCCTCTTCCGCCCTTCAGTTCAGAGAAACCTCTGGTCTAGAGGCCTAGCTGACGGCTCATTTCAGATCTCGTCTGGGTTGGGGAAATTACAGAAGTAATTTCCAGTTTCATTTGTACCCACTAGTTGCCTCATCAGTCCCTGTCTCCAAATCAGAAAGAGCATACATTCCATTCAATTGAGCTGGCAAAAACAAACAAGCTAAACAAACCAACTCATAGCTTGATGTTATTTTATTAAACATCCGCAAACATCAAAAATGGGTAAGTGGCAAAATGGGATTAAAGGCAGGCAAAAGCAATGAATGCATGAACAAGATGTGAGAATGCACATGACTGATATCAGTCAATCAAGCTCATGGGAAAAAAAAATATTGTGGGCAATTAGCATGAACATTCTCAAAGGAAGTAGCCTCAGTTATACCAGCCCTTTTTTGTGCATAAGAATAGAAGAATGGAGATGGGAAATACTGATTCTTCCTCCTTCTGCACCATGAAGATAACTATTTGGTGGATGGGGATGATGTATTCAAGGCCACTGGTTTCCTGGCCCCAAATGTAGTGCTATGGCTTTACAGCAGGGGTGTCAAACTCAATTACATTGAGGGCCGCATCACCATTGCGGTTACCCTCGGGGGGTCGGGTGAGTGTGGCCAGGGTGGGTGCGGCCTACTGGGTGGGTGTGGATGGAGTGGGTGTGGCCTACTGGGTGGGCATGGCCAGCTCTATATTGTTCGCATCAAGGGTGCCTGTGGGGGCCTGGGCAGGAGTGGGACAGATCTGAGGGTCTCTGGCAGAAGAGGGTAGGACCGGGGCAAGCGCCAAGGCATGGTCCATTTCTTCATTCCTCACAAAGAGTGACACCTCCCCAGCATGCACCCAGGGGGCGGGGCCGACATGGCAGGGGCTGGTTCCTCGCTGTTTCTAGATGGCCTTGTGGAGCTAAGACTGAATGCATTTCAGCATAGATGGCCACCACAAAATTGTACATTGGCTCCTGGCCGGCCTGGGCCAGGGCCAAGGCAGCGGGGGCCGTTCCCTCACTGTTTCCAGGATGGCTTCACAGGCCACATGAAACCACTTTGCAGGCCGCATCCGGTCCCCGGGCCTTGTATTTGACATGTCTGCTTTACAGGAACAAACAATTAAGAATTGTCAACTGAAGATGCAATCATTTTTTTTCACAGGATGCTGGTACAACAGCAAAGCTGGCAGGTACTACAGCAAAGAAGAGCTACTTCCTGGATCCTGTTTAATTAATGACATTGTTTAATCAATAAGTACCAAAGCAAGTCAACATTGATTATCCAGGGCAGGCTGATAATTGCAGGAAACAGACAGTCCCTCTGAAAGCTAAGCCCTAAATCATATACAGCTTTAAATGGGATAACTTTGAGTTGCAATTGGAAGCATACTGGTAAAGTGCTCATGGCACTGTTTACATGAACATACTGAGGGTTATCACTGTGCTTGCCAATGCGTTCTGAACTAGCTGTAGCTTTTTAAGTGTAGCCTGTGTAGAGTGCATTATTAAGAGACAACTTCCAAATTAACCAAGGCATGAGTGGCTCTAAGGAGGGTTTCTCAGTCCAGAAAAACATACGTTGGATTTATGTGAAGACCTTCCTGGAGTCATGAGTCCAGGAAGACCCTCAGATTGTGCAATGATCCTGGGGAGGTCAATGTAAGGAAGGAGAAGAAGAGGATGACCAGCAACAAGGTGGATGGGACAGAGCATCATGAAGAACATATATGTAGTTGCTAAGAGATGACACCAACTTGATTATGCTGCATCATCACAATCACCAAATGGTGCAATAAACATTTAAAAGGAACAAAAGAATTATGTTCTAAAAGGTTGGTATGAAAAGTATTATAGGAACCATTGGACCATTTCATTTTGATACATTTTTAAGCTTGATGAATGGAAAATATAAATGAGCTATAACACTATGTAAGGCACGCTGGCTGAGGAATTCTGGGAGTTGAAGTCCACAAGTCATAAAAGGGCCAAGTTTGAAGACCTCTGGTCTAAGTGCTATTTTTTTTGCTATTGTTGATCATGATTTTTTTTTTTTACACACGCTTTGTTTCCTAGAAGTTTTGAAGAAGTGCATTTTTAATTTCCAGTGGAAAGCTCAGTCAAAATTCCAGCTGAAAGGAGAAATGCATTTCTAGGACTTTCCTTGTGACAGGCTGTGCTGTATTATCTCATTGATTTATGGGTTATGTTTTGCAGCTTGCAAAAGCAGACTTGCCTTTTTCCATATGTGCCTACTGGAGGAAAACAGACCCCTGCAGCCTGCTTTAATGAGTGCCAAGGCACTGTAAATTTTTAAAACAAATGAAAGGCCTTCAGCAGAATGGATGAAGAAAAGCTGTTAACAATGAGGGATTTTGACATCTAATCTTTCTACAGGTGAACAAAATCCATTGGAAATCCCTAGCACATTTTCTGGGGGAAGAGAGGGAAGTCTTTTCAGAAACAGAAGCCAAAGATGAATTGATCCTCACGGCCTTACTGACGGGCATTGTGAAAAATAGCTGCCAGGTGAATCACAAATCAGGGATCATTAAAAGCAAATCTGAACCAATTTGTCTAAGTGCTTTGGATCAACTGTGCATGCAATAAATTATCTCCTCTCTCCCCAGGCTGGAAACTCTCCACCTATCTTCAGTATAACAAGCCTTAGTTGAACCTGAGCATGTGCAGAACCAGAACAGATGCTACATTTTTACCACCCCAGTCAGAGCAAAACAAAGTACAAAGGAGCCAAACCTAACCTAGTGAGTTAAATCATACTTGTGAGAACTTAATGACAGACAACAAACGTGATTACAGGTAATCCTGGCTTAATGACCACCCTATTTAGTGACCACTTGAAGTTACCAACTTTATGACTAGTCCCTGCATTTATGGCCCTTGTGGTGTTGCCATGATCCTGTGATTGAGATTGGTTGCTTCTCAGCTGGGACCTGTTTTATAACCATTGCAGCAGGCAGTGGTCTTGTGATTGTCATTTGTGCACCTCACAGTGATTTCTGGCAAGCAACATCAATGGAGAAGCTGGAAGTAAGTTGTGGTCACCTGATGTCTCGTTTAAGAAGCGTGGGTGACTTGCTTACTGATCATAGCAGAAGTGATGACCCTCGGTATGTGATGTCTTTCTTGACAACTGCATCACTTTAGCAATGGAATTGCTAGTCCCAATGGTGGTTGTTAAGTGAGGACTACCTATATACCAATAGCAATGAAACCTCTATTTTTTTTTTCTCGGCCAGTAGTGGGATTCAGCCAGTTCGTACCACTTCGGCAGAACCGGTAGCTAATTTTTTGTTGCCCAGACCCAGAATGGACTTCCGGAAGCGGCATTCACACAGAGAATCGGTGGTTCACATATTTGAATCCCACCACTGGGTAAGGCTATGTTTTATTGACATTTGGGGATCATTTAGATTTTTGCAGCCCAGATACAGTATGTTATGCCTAAATTTGGGCACTGATTTCAAAACAATCTTGCTCTTACCCTGACTGATCATTTCAGTTCTTCGTTTCGTTTCTTCCTAGGTATCTCCCATTGCCCTGTTTCTCTGCACATGGTGCACCCATTTCTCTCCTGAAGGGAAATTAGTTTTAGGGTTGCACATTATTTTCGCATGGAAAAATGGCATTTAGAAAACGACTGTGGATGCATAAGCTAAGTGTTGAAAGGACATGGAAGATGGGTGTAATTGTCAAGGACGTGTACCAGCAGGTAGCTGCTGTCCATGGAAAGGTTAGAAAGGAAGTACAAAAAACGAAGTATAACCAGGAAAGTTATAAGCAATGAAAAAACTCTCTCTCTCTTTTTTTTTTTCTTACTGTGTTGGTTGCAAAAGGAAAGAAAAAAGAGGGGTGGGTTTTTCCAGGATAATAACTGGTGATAGGGAGTGGAGAATAGTCTTCAACTCCTCTTTTGCTTTGGACTTCTCATCAAAGGGTAACAGTGTTCAAATGGACCTAAACAGAACAGTTGACACAAAGGAAGAAATGGCAAGCCCAAGGAAATGGTTACAAAACCCCTGGAATACATTTAAGCCCACAGAATCAGAGTAGTAATATCCAAGAGTCCTGAGGGATTTTGCAAATGTCAGGTCCAAGCACCTTGCTGTGATCTTTAAGAAAGTATGGAGGACATGCATGATATCAGAAGACTTGAAGAACACTAAATATGGTGGCTATCTTCAAAAAGAAGACCTGGATAACTATGGATAAGTTAGTTCACCATCACTATGGAGAGAAAGGGGGGGGGGCTCTACCCCAGTGACAAAAAGCTCAAGGAAGTAATTAATAAGGGACTTGCTGAGAGCTATGTGGGAGGGGGGAGAAGAGTAATTATCAAAAGAAATTAGAACATGTTAGAATGCTAGAAAATAAGCTCCCATAAGTTAAGAGAGAGAAGTAAGGAGGGGTATATGTGAAAAAAGTAATTAATAAACCCACAAATAACCAATAAAGGAGAATATACATAGCTCAGGGTTGAAATGAGGGGTCCTTGGTGCCCTCTGAGCTTGGTTGTTTTCTTGCAGATGTTTCATTACCCAAACTAGGTAACATCATCAGTACTAGTAAGTGTAAAACCTGAGGTATGAATAAGTGTAAAACTTACTTGATGGTATTACTTAGTTTGGGTAACGAAATGTCTGTAAGAAAACAAGCTCAGAAAGCACCAAGGATCCCTCATGTACAAATAGGAATGCAAATAAGAAATGGAATTAAAGTTACAAAGGTAAGATGAAAATAAATACAGGGATAAGAGGAAATAAGCAAAGATGGAAAGCACAGTCAACAGAGTGAAAATGAAGATAAGAAATCTATTAATAAAATAAAATAATGAATGATTGAAGAAGATTAAGCAAAAGTTTCTTGTGGTTAAGTTTTCTAGCCAAAAACATAATGTACCCATATTATATTCAATCCTGGGGTTAGAAACTTACCCTGTGTTTATGTTATGTCAAACTCCTCAAACCCTGTCAAGGGACTGTATTTTTTTTTCTTTTTTTCCAGAAAAACAGTTCTGCCTAGCAGCAAACTTCAATGGTTCTGTTTCAGAAAAAGAGATGTGTGTTTGCTGTTGTTATGTACAGATTGCTGCAGAATGATGAAGCACTGTTTGCTCTGCTAATATTTTTCAGGCATCAATACTAGGGCTGTGCAAAGAATGTGAAGGAGGTGCTTTACAAAGGACTTTGGTGCAAACACAGCATTTCTCTTTGAAAAGATAGAGTAGCAGCAATTTTTGCAAGGCCCATCAGCTGCCTCAAATGCTGGCCCATTCTCTGTGTGAGAGCAGACAACACTTTTGATGAAACCCAGGTCAAGTGAAGTGGCCGGACACCCTTTTGCATATGCAAACATCAGGGAACGGTTTTTCAAGTAGACATGCAAGGCTTGCAAAAGTTGGCTCTGTTTTAATCCTTCCTTCTGGCTCATGCACAGCTTCATGGGCTGATTGGAAAACATTTCATAAAAACAGGCTCTAGGCTCGTCCCCACTCACAGATCATGTGGTCAACGTAATTCTCAGAATCAGGTTATGCAGTCTGAACATGATATATACATTTTTTTTCACTAGCAATATCAAATGTATGATACTGCATCTATAAAAGTCTGCAACTTTTATAGATGCAGAAAATATTCTGTTTTGATATTGTCCATCCCATTAAATAGACCAAGCACGTAATCAGTTCTATGGAAAGACTTCACTGAGATTGGCTGTAGTAACAGAATCTTGCAAGTATAATTGTGCTCTACTTTTTTCCTGTAGTAAATCAGGGAGGTATTTGTTTGAGTTGTTTCTGAAAATTTTCTTGTTTCCATCAAGGTCATCTTCCTTACTCTATACAATTTACAATTCTTGTTGAATTCAGATTCCTGGATGTGGAAACCTGAATTTGTGTAGACATGAGGCAACCACACTAGATTATATTGCATGTGCAAAACTATTTCATAAATATGCACCTTATCTATGGAGTAACCATGCATTTTTAAGAACTAAAGTGCCAATATGATGTAGTGGCTCAGTTGTTTGAACAGGAAAATCTCCATTTTGCCATGGAAGCCACAAGGGTCAATATCTCTCAGCTGAAGGTAAATTCCAGAGATAAAAGGGAGAGAAGAAAGAATCAGTTTTTTCTACCTTGAGTTCTTGATAGTTTGGTGGACTATAAACAACAAACAATTTGGGGTGGGAGAATCCCATAAACAAGCCAGTTATCTACCAAGTGTAGGAAAAGCAGTGGCAAAACCTGGGGGAGGAGTCAAAAGAGAGATCAGCCTAGAATCGCTATGTAGCCACAAATGGACCAAGTCCAACCCCTCTTGAATTCCATTGACCCCTTATCTAGCACCAAAATAGTGCTAACAGTTAATTGAATAGATTCTCATGCATAGGCATGAGTAATAATACATCAGTTTAACTGGAACTTCACATGTGGCCCTGGTCTTTTGTGCCTGACACAAGTCACACCTTAGTGAGGGTTGGTCAGATGTTGAAAGAGGTATTAATAATGCAATGCAGGCATCCTAGAATGATGAAGTTGGGATTACGGCCACATAGGTAATACTGGTTGTGTTCATAAATATTTCTGAACCAGCACTAAGCATGGTTTGTTGAAATGAGCTACTTTATCATAATATTAAGTCTTTATATTGAACTCATGCTAAATGAAAATAAACTACCTGGTAGCTTAGTTTTATGAGTGAGGCCACAAGCTATGATATGCTTAAAAATACACAGCCTATATATCAGCGTGCAAGAACTACTCTTCTTCCAAATGGAAAAATAATATAAATCATTTAAGAGAAAGGGTTTTGTAACCAACGTTTTCATTTATACCAGTGGTTCTCAACCTGTGGGTCGGGACCCCATTTGGGGTCGAATGACCATTTCACGGGGGTCGCCAAACCACGCTGTCCGCCATTTTTTCCCCTTTTCCCTAGCTGTCCTACTCCCTCTTATTGGTGGCCACACCCACTTGGGGGTCACCACAACATAGGGAACTGTATTATGGGGTCACGGCATTAAAAAGGTTGAGAACCACTGATTTATACGCAAGGCGAATCTTTGTGCACTTACTCTGAAGTAAATCCTTCTTGTCTTCAGATGGTTACTCAAAAGCCAAACAGGATATATCAATTCAGTTATTGCAATAAAAGCCTCTTGTCTATAAAAATGAAATTAATAAATATTTATGAATAATAATAATAAATTTAAAACACAAACTAAAACATAGTACAAAGAGAAACATTTGATTAATTCATGCGAACAATCTCATTGTTGTCTTTTAGCTGTTATTTTCCACTGATTACAGCAGTATTTCCCAAACTTGACAATTTTAAGGCATGAGGACTTCCACGCTGGCTGTGGAATTCTGGGAGTTGAAGTCCACATGCCTTAAAATTGTCAAGTTTGGGAAACACTGGATTACAGTATAAATGTAGTAGTATTATAGGGAGGGAAATTTTTTTTTCAAATTCATGTCCTCCATTTCCATTGAACAACTACACTCTTCATCATCATCATCCAAAGTATATGGCCACTGATTTCCCTCTACTTTCCATCACAGCGGTGGATTATAGGGATTATAGTTCAACTGATCTGAGGATATTAGTTTGGGAAAACTAGCAGAAGAGATTTTGTTTAAAGATAAAGACAAAGGTTTCTCCTGTCCAGTTGTGTCTGACTTTAGGGGGCAGTTCTTACCCCCATTTCTTAGCTGAGGAAGCCAGCGTTGTCTGGAAACATTTCTGTGGGCACCTTCCCAATAAAATGGTACCTATTTATCTACTCGCATTTGCATGCTTTTGAACTGCTAGATGGGCAGGAGAGAGTTTGTTTATCTAGATTCACGTATGTTTTCCAAAACAATGACAAATACATAAGATAATGTGCATGCTAATCAATATGTATATTAACAAGTACAATAATAAGTACTTTTGTTTTTCAGAGTAAGACATTTTGAAAAACTGGCAGCAAGTTTTCTTAAATGTTGTTTGGGTTTAATATTTGGAATGCAAATCTGGTTCAGCATTTGGGGACAATAAAGTGAATTCCATTTTTCATGAGAAAAATTAAAAAAAAATGTTTGGCGACTGTTCCTTTTCATTTCCTGTCCTGTGAGCACTTTCACAATGGGTTTTAACGGTTTCTCTCATTTAAATTGGTTAAAGTAGACAGTTTTTGAAATCACTTCATTAAAATGTTTGGAAAGCAATGTAAGCTACAGTGACCTCATTAAAATTCTGTTTGGGTATGTCTCTTGCTTACATCTTCACCCCTCCCCCCACTACATTTTCAAGAAACATTCTGGGAAATAAGAATTTCAGAGTGTTGTTCCAAATAATGTTAGACAGTGCACAATTCTCTGCTTAGATCTGCTTTGTAAGTCATGTATTTGCAGAAGTTGCCTGAGAAATTGCAGGCTGGGTTTCCAGTGCCATTGGCAACCCATCAAGTGGCAGCTGTGGCTAGAACAGCCTTTATACACCTTTGGGTTAGGTGCCAGTTTAACCCATTCCTGGACTGGGAAACTCTGCTGTCATTCATGCCCTCATGATCTCCTGTCTGGACTTGTGCTGCCCCACCCCCCCCCACCCCGCATGCACATATGGCAAGAGTCCTACAGATGTTTATTCAAATCCTCCAGACAGGAAAGCACCCCTGTTGCACAGGTACAGATTCCAAGTTCAGTACAGCAAGAGTCACTGGGTAACCAAATCTAATGGGAACACACAAAGTCCGGGAAAGCAATCCAGCAGTCAAACAGGCCAGAATGCATAGCAAGAGGACACAAGTGCAGAACGGGGCATGTTGCTCCAGCAACACTCAAGTCCTCAGGGCAGAGTTAAGTAGGCAGTGCTGGTGCAGCCTTTCATGAAAGGTGAGGTTACCTCCTCATGGATAATCTAGCTGACCGGCATTGTGCCAGTCTTCTCTCTGCTCCTTGGATCAGGAGGAGGTGTGGACTTCATGTCCTCCTCGTTGCTAATGGGTGGCAGCTGCTCCCGGTCCTTTTCTGGAGCTTTCTGGCCAACTTGCTGCAGCTGTGGCTCACCTCTAGCAACCTTGGATGGTGACAGTCTCCTTGCTGCTGTGTATTTTAATTTTTCTATTTATGATGGAAATTTGATTTTAATTTATTAAGATTGTTCACTGCCTAGTCACTTCTGAGATGGGTAGCCATAGGGAAGGAAGGAAGGAAGGAAGGAAGGAAGGAAGGAAGGAAGGAAGGAAGGAAGGAAGGAAGGAAGGAAGGAAGGAAGGAAGGAATTTGTACTAGCCCTGTTCCCAAGAGGAGCATGTAGTAACTTGAAACAAAGTATCCAGTCCCATCACTTTATTCACCATTTTAAACCACCCAATTGTAGAAAGTCAGCACCCACCCTCCTAGAGAAGGAAATATTTTGGTGAATATTAAAAAAAGGCAGAATATTATATTTCCCTAAAGGAATAAAGAAGAAAAATCTTAGGGGAGGCAGAAACCAGCCCAAGTTTCAGATTTGGGGCACACCATTCATAAGCAAAACACTTTCAGCCTCCACAACTGATGGGATTAAGAATTTACATTCTCCCACCCAAAATCTAAGGAACATGACCTTTAGGACATAATAGGATTAATCCAACACCCTCTTCAGACTAGCAAAAGACACAAAAGCCCACCTCATTGCACAAACTCAGAAACATTTCCACTTCAAAGTCTCAGAGCCCTATAAAGATCCATCTACTTTCAGCTCCATTGGTCAGCTGTCCCAGAACTACATGCTGCTGGTGGTTCTGCTCATCATTAAATCTTCTTTCCAAACAGCCAGCTTCCATTTTATTTACTCCCAGCTTGGAACTGGACCTGATGATTTTTCTCTCAACACAATAGCCTATATTTTAAGAGAAGGGATTTTTTTTTTCTTCCCCATAAGTATACTGAACAGTGTAATTGAATTTCCACTTGCCTTCTCTAAGACGTTTTTCCAAGTACCTCTGCCTGGGGTTGGGTAGCAATGACTTACTGCTTGGAGCTAAATTTGAACTTTATAAAAGGATTAAAATAATTAAAAAAAACCTCCAACGAGACTCCCCAGCAAAATAAGTTCATTGATAATCAGATTTTGCAGAAAGTAAAGAACAAAAGAGATACCTTAAAATGTTTATGAGCCAGATACATATGAAGCCAGAATGAGAAAATTACGTTATTGCTTAGATTCCAATGTCATACCATTCTAGAGCATAAACATAATTGTTTATCTATGGTAATTGTTCTACTAATTCAACCACCTCTGTTTAAAAATGCTGTTTGACTTGGCAGAAAAAAATGTTCTTTTTAATTTTACTTGAAAGCAGGCTGTAGCAGGATTGTAGGGATGATAGGTTGTGTGCAAATTTGCCTTGAAGAGTATTTATTCTTCTAGTGCTGTGAGGGGGGAAAAAAATAGCACTCTTCAATGACACTCTCCAAAGCAGGGAAAACTAACTGTTTTTACTCTAAGGATGCTCTTGCCTTGAGTGCATAATAGTCCACAGAACGGTGGGAAGTGACAAAACAGGCAATATGATCTCTTGACACAAACCAGGTGAGTTGCACCACTGATGTGAAATCACTTTATGTATTCAGGGGCGAAATCTCTGTTATGTTGCTATGATGCATATTTTGTTTTCTTGATTATTGTGTATACCTATGTTTGAGTGATGTACATTTAATAATAATTATTATTAATAACAATAATAAGTTGGAAGAGACCTTGGAGATCATCTAGTCCAACCCCTTGCTCAAGCAGGAAACCCTATATCAGGGGCGTCAAACTGCCGGCCCGCAGGCTGGATGCGTCATCTGGAAGACGTACCCACCTCATTGCTGGCAATGGCAAAACCGTCCCGATATGTTTTGTGACATCACGTGACGTCATGAGTTTGACATGTCTGCACCATACCATTTCACACAAATGGTTGTCCAGTCTCTTCTTAAGAACCTCCAGTGTTTGAGCAAGAGTTAATCTCCAGTGTAGTTCTAGATTGCTTGTTCCTTTCCTATGGATGGCTGATCCTAATGGGCACCTCCAGTGTGGTACACCTTACTGGAAGCCCCAGACAACTGGCAGAGCCAGGACTTCAGGCCCTTGCAGAAGGTCAGGAGGGTGGGAATCAATCTCACTTCAGAAGGCAAGATGTTCCAAAGGGCCGGAGCCCAGTTGCAGCAACCTGGAGTTACATGATTGTGCTGTGTGATTTTTCTCCCCATTTTCCAGGAAAAAAAGGCACATTGGATGAGCTGGCCTTAGACTTATAACTGGTCAATTCACTTGAGAGCCACGTGATTTATTTAACAACTGCAGTGACTTGTTTAATGGCTGTCATAAAAACAGTAATAAAATCAAGTCCAGTCATAAAACACAATGACCAAAATTCCAAGCTTAATTATGGTCATAATTAAATCCATATGTGAGGTGACCAAGGCATGAGTAACTGTGAGAAGGGACTCACAGTCCAAGAAAAGGCACTATTGGTCCTTTTGCAATTGAGAATGCTGGATTAATGGAAATGCCAGTAAGTTTCCATTTTTTCATTGCTTCTTCCTAAAACTTACAGTCACTAATTATTTTAGTACAACACCCACATGGTATCTAATAATTAATAGCATAATAATAATAGTAATAATAATAATAATAGTAATAATAACAAAAAGAATAACATCTTCCAACAGGCAGGTGAGGTTGACTCTCCGGGTATTGAGGTCATTCCGATGATGGAGTTCTCGGGCCATCATCAGGGGCTCGGAGTTCAGAGAGCCGTCATGGATCGTTCTCATCACAGACGCCAGTCTCTTTGGTTGGGGGGCTCACCTCCAGTCTCAGATAGCCCAGGGGAAATGGTCCAAGGAGGACTTGAAACACAATATAAATTGGCTAGAACTCAGGGCAATTCACCTGGCATTGTGACAGACTTTATCTACCAAGGCAAATAGGTGGGCGTGGAATTCTGCAAGTACATCAGATGGTTGAAGAAGAAAAAATGGCTTTGGAAGAATATCTGAAGAACAATGATGAAGTATAGTATATCAGGAAGGCTTACTGACTACTGGAGAGACCAAACTGGCCTACAAGAAAGACCAAATGAAGAACAGAATAGAGGCATGGGAAGACAAAGCTCTACATGGCCAGTATGTTAAAAAAATAG